TTTCTTTTCTGAACTGTGGCTTTGCGTGCTGTGTGCGCAGCAGTTTCTATGTGTCGCAAAATCAAATTTACTATAAAAATATGTGCAGATCCGCGTAAACAATGAGTAGCATTTGTGTGTATTCATACCGACTTGGCGTATGCCGGTAGTGTTATTTAGCCGTTAAAATATGGTTGATTAACTGGGAGCTGCTCAGAGTTGAATGTCGGGGTGAGGCGAAAATAGTTCTTATTATGCAATGCACAAACGCACCTTGCTATGTTAGATATTTGATTTTCATTGATATATAAAATATAATTATTATATATATATATATATATATATATATATGTGATGTGTGTGTGTGTGATGTGTGTGTGTGTGGTGTGTGCGGCGTACGTCGGTGCGTGCGGCGTGCTGCGAGTGTGTGTGTGTGTGTGAATGAGTATGCGCATGGGTGCGCGGTTTGTTACGACAGGCAGCGCGCGTGCGGGTGAGTGCCTATTATATATATAAGCAAGCTAGGTAGAAATGATTTTAAAGGTATACCTTATTCACTTTAGTCGTACAAAAGTACTGTCGTTATATGTATTATACTTTTAAATATTTCCGTTGTTTTGTATTGTATTATCGGCAAATTTTATTCTATAGATATCAGAATTCTTCAGAATCAGCAGCTATCAGAATTTTTCTCCATAAAAAGACTGTTTTCAGTACATGTATTTGTATTTGAATTGCATGCAAAATATTTAATAATATAATGATGATGATGATGATAATAATAATAATAATAAATTAGTTAACATTGTATGTGTACAGTGCACTAATCACACGTAGGTAATATATAAACGCTTTTATCTTCTCAATAAATTTTAGGAATATAAAAACTCAAAGAGGGCGCTATCGTCAGTGAGTGCTCGCATGTGTATTGACAGATTTCTATATTTCGTGAAATTTTCTTTCTTCAAGTACACTTTGATGAAACAGTAAAATTATTTTGAATAAACAAGTACAGTTTCACCAGAATATTCGATTAGCAACGGTATGTATTGACATTTGATTACAGCCTCTAGCGCAAATATCCACTAACAGTGGAGTAACACTAACTATTTTCATGATTCTGTAACATGCGTGATTCGTGAATGCCTCGTACGGGTTCAAGGATCAGAGAGCATGGTTGGGTAGCCCCTTTAAAATCGACAGGGGCGTTGTGTGAGGGTGTTGCTGGCTGAAGTTAAGGAGTCGGTGGGACAATGCAGGTACGCAGCGACTGTCATAGGCTATAGTACGCCCGAGTACTTTCCGTTATATGCGAACCCCCCGTGGTACGGCGTAACGGTTACCCAGGGTACCGCTGCCGATATAGCCACAAAGTTCCCTTCTCCGCTTTAAAAGTGTCTTACGTCAACGAATTTCCTGAAATGTTATAGTTGAAAAACCTTATTTTGTGTAATTTTTTTTAGGGCATCGAAACGTTAGTACTAACGCTTACTAAATATATCCTAAAGCTGCTCACGCTGATATAAATGTGTTTTACGCTTCTCGTGAGGTAATTTTGCCAAAATCTGTGACAGATTTTGAATTAGTGTGTACCTAAACTATTTACACAATAGCTGGGCGTCAAGCTCGGTTTGCTGCAGCTGGTTGCTGTATGGTCGATGTCATCGTGATTTTCTGTATGGTGCACAAAGTGTGCCCAACACCGTTTCTGTCTTGATTTGTGTTAGGTATATAGAATACTACAATATGCGGAAAATAAATAATATATGTTCATGGTATTATGTTTGAAAATTATTAATTAAACTGCGAAATGTTATTTTGTGTTTTTTTAATTTTCTGGCAACAAAAATGTTCTTTGTGACATCCCCCTTCAGGAGTCGGATTCAGAAGCCTAGATAAACTAAAACGATAAACAATGGGTGGGCAGAGACCAGTGCGATCAGAAAGAAGAACGAAGAGAAAAAAGCGAAAGAAGATTATATGAGACACCTCGCCGCTCCTAAGTTTACAAGGAATTTTCATTGGCATGCCACAATAATTTGCCAATGCCTCGTTTACCGGCAAAATGTTTAGCCTACTATCGCTAGCCTGCGTGCTTGGGCGCCACACAATTAATTTCGAATTCATGGCGCGATTCGTCTGTTGAATGCGAACGTTTGAGTTACATCGAACTGCACCGGCAAATTAGGGAGTTATAAGAGAAGCGTATATGAGCCATGAAAAGTAAATAGAAACGCTAATTGTATTTTCGATACCATTTATTTTGTACCGAATAAGACACAAATATACTACTGCTGTGCTCGAAATTCGGCTGACGTAGACAGTTTAACAAACTACGTTGGCGAGAGGGTCACAAGCGACCGCAATAGAATATTGTTTGGGATGATGACGTGCACTCTATTAAACATAACAATTATCTAACTTTTTATGATCTTATCGGCTTCTCTGTACTTCCACGGCCTCGGATTTATTATATGTGCGCTATCACTGAGCATGTAGTTACGTGTCACGCGAGTAATTATTAGAATTGATAAGATGAAACTTCCCGAACACGAACAAACGCCGCCATTTTCCAATACTAGATATCCCATAATACGTAGCGAAAGTTCGTGAATTTTCGCGTACAAAAAGAGACATAAGAACATCCATTGTTTTCAAGCAACCAGGCATTTTGTATGGAAGGGTGTCAGGCTCCTACGACGTGTATCAGTCGGAGAGCCTGGTCGGTTTACCTCCGATAGTACCCTGGGGGAAATAGACCTTATCAGCCCTATTACACCGCTACTCGTACTGAGTAGCTGTACTGTACCATAGCTGCCATCGCTGTTCGGATCTTTACACTAGACTAGTCACTACAAATTATTGCACGCAATTGATTACGTAAATTTTCTTTTAACACTCACAGCCAGAAGATCTGATGAATATGCAGCATTGTAACCTGCTATGTCTGCCCGAGAACTACCAGATGAAATATTACTTCTACCATGGACTGTCCTGGCCACAGGTAAAATATGATATCTACAAATTTAATTGTCTCTCTGGGAGATTTGTTCAGAACAAGCACGTGAAACCTATTATTTTTCTGAACTTTGAAAGTAGTTGATTGTGGTAACTGTTTTAGATTCATGCAATGTTTGTCATGACAACTTTATCGTTTTTTTACAGCTTTCCTACGTTGCAGAGGATGAGAAGGGCAAGATTGTTGGCTACGTGCTCGCAAAAATGTAAGCGCTCGACTGTACATTGTTCCGGATGCCGCTCCTAGTCTTGCTCAGTGGCCGCACGATTGGTCACAGTCCTACGTGCCAATGGCTGGCTACATGACAAAATGAATAGGTTTTTCAAGTTCTGAATATTCAGCAATAAGATGAATTCACATTAGGTAGTACCGTTGGCATTGCTAAGACCTTTGATTATAATAAATCTCATCCAAGAATATGGGATATGTGGGATTGGTGACTTTTGAGCAGGACTCGCACATTTTTATGGCTGCTACCATGGGTCATGCATGTAGTAAATTTACATATGTCCTGACAAGTTTCGGTTTCGGTACAAAGATGCTACATAATTTCCGGATTTTTATTTTTTTAATGTTAAAAGTTCCGGAAAAAAATCTGAAAAAAATACGCTGCTCGTCGGTGCGTTTGCAGGGAGGAGGATGCCGAGGATGACCCGCACGGACACATCACTTCGCTCGCCGTGAAGCGCTCGCACCGGCGACTCGGACTCGCCCAGAAGCTCATGGACCAGGCTTCGCGAGCGATGATCGAGAGCTTCGGAGCTAAATACGTCTCGCTGCACGTGCGCAAGAGCAACCGCGCCGCGCTGCACCTCTACGAAAACACGCTCAGGTTCTCGTAAGTGTTCCTCCATGTTCCTTAAGCCTGGGACACACCATGCAAATTTATTCGCACGTCCGAAGCGAAAATATCAAACATGTTTAATCGCTGCGAATTTCGGTGCGGATGAAATTTATTTCCGTTGTTTTGTATTGTATTACTCGGAAATTTTATTCTATTAGAATATCAGAATTCTTCAGAATCAGCAGCTATCAGAATTTTTCTCCATAAAAAAGACTGTTTTCAGTACATGTATTTGTATTTGAATTGCATGCAAAATATTTAATAATAATAATGATGATGATGATGATGATAATAATAATAATAATAAATTAGTTAACATTGTATGTGTACAGTGTACTAATCACACGTAGGTAATATTATAAACGCTTTACTTCTGCATAAATTTTAGGAATATAAAATCTCAAAAGAGGGCGCTATCGTCAGTGAGTGCTCGCATGTGTATTGACAGATTTCTATATTTCGTGAATTTTCTTTCTTCAAGTACACTTTGATGAAACAGTAAAATTATTTGTGAATAAACAAGTACATTTTCACCATGAATATTCGATTAGCAACGGTATGTATTGACATTTGATTACAGCTCTACGCAAATACCCACTAACAGTGAGTAACACTATTCACTAACATTCTCATGATTCTGTAACATGACTCATGAGTGATTCGTGAATGCCTCGTACGGTGTTCAAGGATAGAGAGCATGGTTGGTATGTAATTTTCGTTAATGTGTGGGTAGCACCTTTAAAATCGACACGGGCGTTGTTGAGGGTGTTGTTGGCTGAAAGTAAGGGTACGGTGGGACAATGCAGGGTACGCAGCGATATAGGCTATAGTATCCCCGAGGTACTTTCCGTTATATCGAACCGTAACGGCGTACGGTACCCAGGGTACCCTCCGATATAGCCACAAGTTCCCTTCTCGCTTAACACTACGTTGGCGAGAGGTCACAAGCCGACGCAAATAGAATATTGTTTGGGATGACGTGCACTGCTATTAATAGCAGTAAAATTACTCTAACTTTTTATGAATTCTTTTATCGCTTCTCCTGTACTTCCACGCCGATCGAATTTATGTATATGTGGCGCTAATACTGAGCATTATTTACGTGTCAGCGAGTACATTATTAGAATTGATAAGATGAAACTCCGAACAAACCCGGCCGCCCATTTTCCAATACTGAGATATCCATCAATACGTTAGCGAAAGTCGTGAATTTTTCGCCGGTACAAAAAGAGCATAGAACAGTCCTTGTTTTCGAAGGCGCAACCAGTGGCATTTCGTATGGAAGGGTGTCAGGCTCCTACGACGTGTATGCAGTTTCGAGATGCTGTCCGGTTTATCTCCGATGAGTACCTGGGGACATTAGACACTTATCAGCCCTAGTACTTCCGCTACTCGTACTGAGTAGCTGTAACTGTACCATAGAGCTGCCATCGCTGTCGGATCTTTTAGCACATAGACTAGTCACTACAAATTATGTCACGCATTGAATTACGTAAATTTTCTTTTAACACTCACAGCCAGAAGATCTGATGAATATGCAGGGCATTTAACCTGCTATGTCTGCCCGAGAACTACCAGATGAAATATTCCTTCTACGACCATGGACTGTCCTGGCCACAGGTAAAATATGATATCTACATAATTTAATTGTCTCTCTGTGCAGAGGTTGTGTCCGAATGAGACTGGATACTAGAGAAGCGTTGGCCGAAGGAGGTGTTTAATCCGAAGTGCTGCGGCGATGCTTGCCGCGCAGGTTCCGCGCAAGGCGCACGCGCGCGCGGAACGCGTACGAGCAGTATGCAGCGCCTGGTCACGCTATGATCCGTGCGCACGAATGAATTGGCCGGCGGCAGCGGATCCATAGCTGCCAGCGAACAGGTCCGCAATTATAGTGGGGGACACAGGAGGGTAGACATTTGGGACGTGAATCAGTGTTCACTGTTATAAAAACATAATGGTCCTCTGTTCCGTAACCACCGAGCTGTGTGACGCGAAATCACGAGAAAGAACGTAACGAAAATTCTCCGCGTTCGCGGAAGCCTTGCCCAAGTAAATGGAAATGGTGCAAGGACTAAAGGCTACATAGACTGGGAACTCGCTCGCCACTCTCGATTACGCCATCGAGTGACTAAGCTAAGCGCGAGAACACGTAGCAATGCTGAGAGGGTCTATTGCCCCGGGTAGCTGCCCGGACACGTACCCTTGGGTACGGTCTGAATATACTGAACGTACCCTGGTACCATCTAATATGCGGATACCGTACGCTCGCGCTATCAGCTACACGAGTCTAGGTGAGTTGCCCTACGCCTACTCTTAACGGCCGATACCCGCAACTTGAATCCATTAAGAACTTGGTAAGTAATAGATTTCGTATTTAGTTAGGGCATATATATTTTATTTGAAACGGCTTCTTAAGTGCTGTTGTCTAGTATGGGGTATTCTAACCGCTAGCAAATGACGCTTTCTTGAGCCTAGTAGTAAGTAGTAGTAGCTATACCTATAGTACTAAGTAGTAGTAGTACTGTCGATAGTAGTCTAGTAGTAGCTAGTGGGTTCAAGCGATAGAGGAACATGGTCCCAATATTAAGTGGGCCCGAATGTAATGACCATGGCAATAAAAACCAATGTCATTTTACATCAATATAGAATATAGATATTATAGTCAATATAATAGGTTATGGGGTTATGGTTAGGGTTCGCATTATTAGTAATGTTGAATATACCAGTTACCTAGTGATAGCTCCAAGAAACTGCGTATTGCTAGGGTATAGAATAACCGTATATGACAATGCCTCGACAGCCATTTGGTCGGGCTATCACTAGAACAGAGCTAGTCATTAATTAGCTATTACTATTAGGAGCTCCTGCCGTCCTGGTACGTTACTAGTACTAGTACTAGTAGTGCTGGAACGTTAGACAGTAACTACTACTACTAATACGTAGTAGTAGTACTAGTAATTAGTAGTAATTATTGTAACATGTACTTGTAGTAATAGAGTACAAAATTAGTATTCGTAGTGTGGAATGTAATACCGACTACTCGGCACTAGTCTAACGTTTTCCTCTACTCAATTTCGCCTATAATCACGCTGTAAAATGCCTGGTCAAATATGCTCATGTGCAACACACTAAGTAGACCGAACGCACGACGCCGGCTGTGCCACAAGCAGCTTTGAAACGTTTCAATAAAATAGTAATGCTAAAGAAACACGAAATCTAAGTAATAGTAGTCAGTACTACAACATAGCTGTGCTGCGTGCACAAACAACATGAGATAAGAGAATGTTTAACATCATAGACTGGTGTAAGTAGGAGTTCGACAGTTCCGACAGGCTTCGGCCAGACGCTACACTTACGTGAGTGTAGGCGATATGCGGCGGAGTAAAGGTGGCAGAACGGGTACGCCAGTCTAAGATATGCGCTCTAGATTCGGGCGTTCGGTGCGCCGTGCTATCCGCAATGACCATACGTGTATTACCCTCATGCAACAACAACAAACAAAGAAGAAACTAGAAATTCGTTATTTGACGGCAAAGAAAGCGCCGCGCGAATAACGAAATCTTCGAATTGGAAGGCATGTTCTAAGAAAGTCGAGCTCCCTGTTAGTCAAAGCCGTCGTCGAATAGCCAGAACTGCTCATGTCAGCGAAGTTGGTGCTTTAGCGTTATATATGTAAACCGTGTAATGGTGAAGTGAGGGGACAGCAAATGAACGTGTTAGAAGCGCCGGCCAGCGGCGTGTGGCAGGCGCTCGCGCGGATATCCGCTGCAGAATGTCTAGAACAAAGCACGATGAAACCTATTATTTTTCTGAACTTTTGAAAAGTAGTTGATTGTGGTAACTGTTTTATGATTCATGCAAATGTTTGTCCATGACACACTTAATTTCGTTTTTTACACGCTTTCTCGGATACGTTTGCAGAGGATGAAAGGGCAGATTGTTGGCTACATGTGCTCCAAAAAAGTAAGCAGCTCGAACTGTATCATTGTTCGGATGCCGCTCGCTACGTCTTGCTCAGTGGCGCACGATTGGTCACAGTCCTACGCTGCCAATGGCTGGCTACATGACGAATAATGAATAGGTTTTTCAGGGATTCGAATATTCAGGGCAATAAAGATGAATTCACATAGGTAGTACCCGTTGGCATTGGCTAAGACCTTATGATTTAATAAATCTCATCAAGAACTTGGATATTGTGGATTGGTGACTTTTGAGGCAGGACTCCGCACATTTATGGCTGCTATCCCTGGGTCATGCATTGTAAATTTACATATTCTGACAAGGTTTGGGGTTGGTACAAAGATGCTTACATTTCGATTTTTTTTTTTTATATGTTAAAAGTTCCGGAAAAAATCTGAAAAAATACCTGCTCCATACGGCTGGCGTTGTGCCAGGGAGAGGCGCGAGGACGACCCGCACAGGACACAATCACTTCGCTCACGCGCGTGAAGCGCTCGCGCATACCGGCGACTCGGCTCGCGCAGAAGCTCAATGGAACGCAGGCTTTCGCGAGACGATGAATCGAGAGCTTCGAGGAGGCTATAATACGTCTCGCTGGCCACCGTCGGCAAGGCAACCCGCGCTCGCGCTGCACCTCTACAAAACACGCTCAGGTTCTCGTAAGTGTTCCTTGCCTATTTCCTTAAAGCCTGCGGAAACACACCATGCAAATTTATTCCACGTGCCGAAGCGAAAAATATCAAGACATGTTAACTCGCTGCGAATTTCGGTGCGGATGTAAATTTGCCCGGCTGCTTCGAGGGAAAACACACCATGGCGATTTTTCAATCGCTGTCAGAGACGTGCAAATAAATGTCGGCATGGTGTGTCCCCCGCTTATAACGCAAACTCGAGGCAGAAGGTAAAGAAAAAGGAGAAAGCAGGGCGCTAATCCAAGCCATATTTCATACCAAATGCCGGCGCCCAAAGTTACGAACCCCGTAGCAAAACATCCAAATTACAAATTGGCAATAAAACACGCCGCCAATAAGTGAGATATAAATCTTATCATGTTTCTATGCGTTAATTGCACTGTTTTGTAATAATCAAATTGCTCATATAAGATCTATAATCTATTATCTGAATACAATTTAATGTTATTATACATACTCCACACCCTCCTCGCTTCGGCTCAGACGGTGAGACTCCCTGATTTTTTTCGCCTAGGCTAACACGCCTGGTGCCGATCGTTCGCAAGGATTCAGGCGAGATCGAACCAAAGTACTCGACGGCAACGGTGAAGGACGCATAGCCATCGCAAGCGCAACCTGGCAGACTGTCGCAAAAACAAATGAGCATGCAATGCGCGATGCGCGTGTTTCCGCCGTCTGTCGCGGTTACGCGCAGTCAGTAAATTTTTAAATCTCACCGACGGTGTGCCTGCAGCGTGTAGATTCACGCGATTGATGGTGTATACCGCGAAGGCAGGACGTACGGCCACGATTTGTATGTAGCGTTGTTATCGTTTTTGATGACGCGTGATATCATATAAGAATGTGCGCAGACTTGTACTGACAAGTCTACTGTAGGACTCACGTACGTGCCGTGACTGTTTGACAGCGTACGTGACAGTGACTTGTTTGAGCAAGTACGTGACAGTGACAAGTTTGACACGTATCGTTGGCAGTGACCGTTTGACACGTTACGTGACAGTGACCGTTTTGACACGCGTACGTGGCCGTGAACCGTTTGGACACCGTAACGTCAGCCGTGACCGTTGTGACCACGTACGTGGCAGTGACGGTTTTTGCACGTACGTGGACAGGTGACCGTTTTGACACGTACGTGGCAGTGACGTTTGAGCACGTACGTGACCGTGACCGTTTGACACGTACGTGCAGCGTGACGGTTTTGACACATACGTGACCGTGACCGTTTGACACGTACGTGACCGTGACCGTTTGACACGTACGTGACCATGACCGTTTGACACGTACGTGACAGTGATCGTTTGACACGTACGTGACGGTGACCGTTTGACACGTGCGTGACAGTGACCGTTTGACACGTACGTGACCGTGACCGTTTGACACGTACGTGACCGTTTGATCTCTGGTTTCTCGCTTTCGTTCTGTGTGTCCCCCCGCTTGACATGCTCACTTGTTTCGCATTGCAGCACAGCGTCAAGTATTCGTCGGAGCTCGCCAGCGACGCGGCGAAGGCCGTGACGGTGCCGTAGCCGCGTCCCTGGGGGTCTTCCCCTGGGAGTCTTCCCCCAGGAATCTTCTCCGGGGAATTACCGTCGACGGCCCGGGGAGGTTTTCGCGGGAATTCGGAGACGACGTTCGGCGCAAATCGCGGAGATGCTGCTTCGACGGGGAGCACCACTTGACGTTCGTTAGTGGATTGCGCGGGACGGACGATTCGATGGACGATTCGATGGAATTTGGAGACGTCTCATCGACTGCGCGGAAGAAGGAAACACTTGGCAAGAGTTTCTCCCTCCCCCCATGGGTTGGTGTCTGCGTCGGAGGGAGAAACACTTGGCAAGAGTTCCTCCCCCGTTGTGGGATGGCATCTGCGTCGGAGGGAGAAACACTTGGCAAGAGTTTCTCCCTCCCCCCATGGAATGGCTTCTGCGTCGGAGGGAGAAACACTTAGCAAGAGTTCCTCCCCCTTGTGGGAGGCCATCGAGGTTCTTAACGCGCAAAGGAGGTTTTGTTCGGCGTGTGTGCGTCCGTGTTTGCCCACGAGAGAAGAGACGCCTCGTCCACTATTTGCCGCAACATATTAGTTAGCGAGCTGTGCAGCCATGATTTGCACGGTCAGTTTTGAAACGTGTAGCACGGCCTAAATTATTGATCTAAAGCCCGAAAAAGTGCAAAATTGCACTCCCAAATATTTTTCCTGCACTCGCACAATACTCATTTCTGGCTAATACGCTGATTTGCCGTGATGTAGGTTTAAAGCAAGCTTGTGTTGTGGCACATCGTATTTTTACTGCATGCGTCACGTAGCATTGACACGTTAGTTAGACCCTCTTTCAGCTTTGAAAATGAATTCGAAAAAATGCGTGTGCATTCCGTCTCTCTCTTTTCGGTTCGCGTAACATCTGGATTTTGCTTCTCTCTCGCGTAATAATAAAACACTGTAAATATTTTTAAGACGATCCACATCTCTGTCTAGCGTTTTATTTCCGTTCGCATACACGATCTCTCGTTTAGCGCGAATTTTTGCAACGAGCTCGTTATCCGGGAGCCGCGACGACGCTTCGCGCGCCGTCGTCACGGCAACCGCTTCCGATTGTACGAGTCGATGAAGCCGTACTGAACGTAGCCGCCGTCGTTGCGCGCGAACATCGACGGCGAGACGGCGGTACGGAGGCTGCGGAACTCCTCCCTCACGGCGCTGAAGTGCACGTGGGCGGGGGCGGGCCGGCCGCCCTCGGGGATGAACGGCCGCAGCCGATCGAGGAGGTGTCCGGGCCAGAACGCGTTGCAGTCGCTCGTCTGGTGCAGGTCAGCGTACCTGCGTGACAGGTGAAGCGTTGCTCGTTAGTCGCAGGTGGGGGCGGAGGGGGGGGGCGTGCCGCGGAGAGGTGGGTAGAGCAGAGATGCCAACCACTACGATTTATCAGTATTTTATACGAATTTCTATTCCTTTTGCACCACTACGACCAGTTTGTATCAAACTACAAATTTCACTGTGATCAGGGAAAAAAAAATTTGTCAATTATTGTCATTTTTTGTCAATTTATTGTCATTTTTGACCCTCAGAATGCAGGAAATTGCATCTCAGAATGTTGGCAAGTGACCGTTTGACAACGTTAACGTGACAGTGACCGGTTTTGACACCGTACGTGGCAGTGAACCGGTTTGGACACGTACGTCAGCCGTGACCGTTTGACACGTACGTGGCAGTGACGCGTTTTTTGGGCACGTACGTGGACAGGTGACCGTTTTGACACGTACGTGGCAGTGACCGTTTGAGACACGTACGTGACCGTGACCGTTTGACACGTACGTGGCAGCGTGACGGTTTGACACATACGTGACCGTGACCGTTTGACAGACGTACGTGAGCCGTGACCGTTTGACACGTACGTGACATGACCGTTTGCAACACGTACGTGACAGTGATCGTTGACACGTAAGCGTGACGGTGACCCGTTTTGACGAGTGCAGTGACAAAGCGAAAATATCAAACATGTTTAATCGCTGCGAATTTCGGTGCGGATGAAATTTGCCCGCGCTTGAGGGGACACACCATGCGATTTTACAATCGCTGTCGACGTGCAAATAAATTCGCATGGTGTGTCCCCCGCTTTACGCAAACTCGAGCAGAAGGTAAAGAAAAGAAGGAAAAGCAGGGCCTAATCCAAGCCATATTTCATACCAAATTCCGGCGCCCAAATTACGACCCCCTAGCAAAACATCCAAATTACAAAATTCATAAAACGCCCAAATTAGTGAATTAAATCTTCATGTTTCTATCGTTATGCACTGTTTTATAATAAAATGCTCATATAAGATCTATAATCTATTATCTGAATACAATTTTAATGTTATTATACATCTCCACACCCTCCCTCGCTTCGCTCAGACGGTGAGACTCCCTGATTTTTTTCCCTGGCTAACACCCTGGTGCGCGATCGTTCGCAGGATCAGCGAGATCGAACCAAAGTACTACGCAGACGGTGAGGACGCATACGCCATGAAGCGCAACCTGGCAGACTTCGCAAAACAAGTGAGCATGCATGCGCGATGCCGCGTGTTCCGCCGTCGGTCGCGGTTACGCGCGTCAGTAAATTTTAAATCTCACGACGTGCGCCTCAGCGTGTAATTCAGCGATTGTTGGTGTATACGCGGAAGGCAGGACGTACGGCCGACGATTGGATGTAGCGTTGTTATCGTTTGATGACCGTGATCATATAAGAATGTGTGCAGACTCGTTAGACTAAGTGGAATCAAGTCTACTGTAGGACTCACGTACGTGACCGTGACTGTTTGACACGTACGTGACAGTGACTGTTTGACAAGTACGTGACAGTGACCGTTTGACACGTACGTGANGAGGAGAGCAGAGCGAGGAAGTAGGGAGAGAGAGAACGAAGAGGGAGACGAGAGAGGAGAGAGGGAGAGAGACCGCAGAGAGACGAGAGACGAGAGGAGCCAGAGAGAGAGAGACGGCAGGGAGAGAGGAGAGAGAGAGAGGAGAGAGAGAAGAGGAGGAGAGAGGAGACGAGTAGAGAGGAGAGAAGAGAGAAGAGAGGAGATGAGAGACGAACGACGAGACGAGAAGAGAGATGAGAAAGGGAGAGAGAGAGAGGAGAGAGGAGAAGAAGAGAAGAGAAGAAGAGAGAGAGAGAGGAGAGAGAGGAGTAGAGAGGAGAGAGGAGAGAGAGAGAGAGATGACGGAGAGAGGAGAGAGGAGAGAGAGAGAGGAGATGGAAGAGAGAGAGACGAGAGAGAACGAAGAGAGAGAGATGGAGAAGAGACGAGAGAGGTAGAGAGAGAGAGAGATAGAGGAAGAGAGAGGAGGGGGGAGAGAGAGAGAGAGAGAGATGAGAGAGAGGAGACGAGAGGAGACGAGAAGAGAGAGGGGAGAGCGCGAGCGAGAGCGAGAGAGCAGAGAGAGGAGAGATAGAGAGAGTGAGGAGAGAGAGAGAGAGAAGAGAGAGAGAGGAGGGAGAGGGACCAGAGAGGAAGAGAGAGAGAGGATGAGAGAGAGAGAGAGAGAGAGACGAGAGAGAGATGAGAGAGACGAGAGAGAGAGATGGAGAGCAGAGAAGAGAGAGAGAGCAGAGAGAGAGAGAGAAGACCAGAGAGAGAGATGAGAGGAGACGAGAGGAGAGAGAGACGAGAGGATAGAGAGAGCGAGAGAGGAGAGAGAGAGAGAGAGAGAGGGGCGAGAAGGGGAGAGGGAGAAGGGAGAAAGGGGGAGAGAGGGGAGGAGAGGGAGAGAGCGGAGAGGAGAGAGAGGAGAGAGAGGAGGAAAGAAAGGAGAGGGAGAGTGAGAATGAAGCGAAATGAAGGGGAAGGGGTAGAGAGAGTTCGAGAGACGTGAGGAAATGGAGAGAGTTCACGATTAGTGGAGGTAGAAAGAGGAGAGGGAGAAGAGTTCCAGGATAGATGGAGGTAGAAAGAGAGAGAGGATGGAGAGAGAAGAGAGAGGAGAGAGAGAGAGACGGAGAGAAGAGAGAGAGAGAAGAGAGGAGAGAAGAGAGGAGAGAGAGACAAGAATGAGAACGATGGAGACAGAGGCAGGAGGAGAGGGCGACATGAAGGGAGGGGGGAAGCGAGTTAACTCTATTGATCCGGGGTGAACTGTTTGATCCAACTCGGCGTCTAAAACATTGGTGGCCTTGCGCGCCGCGTCCGGTAGACACGAACCATTATAGCTTTACTGACATGATTAACGATGACGATGACGATGACCGATGACGAATTGACGATGACGCATGATCGATGTACGAAAAAGAAGAAGAAGAGTAGGGAGTGGTGACGAGAGAATTGAGATGATGCATGATGATGATGATGATGACGATGTTGATGGCGACGATGACGATTGACGATAGCGATGATCAGTCTCCGTACATTAATAGCCCTCCCCTTCCCAATTCCCCCTCCCTCCCGACCCCGCACACGCCTGTGTTTATAAACGCGAACCCGCGTCGCATAGCAACAGATCGTCACACAACGCGCGCGCACGCACCCTCCCGCACATGACACCTATAGATACATAAAAGTGTATAGGGCGAATAAAAAATATTGGACGCTTGATGACAGATTAATGTACTATGTATATGGGTGGGGCGGAGTACTGTGGCTACTGAATGCGGATATATTTAATGTAGTGCGTGACGGTCGCGGTGCGTGCGTGCCTGCGTGCGTTGCGCGCGTGCGTGTTTTGAGGTGTCGAATTCTTTCATTGGTAAACTCGACATTGGCATGAACTGCGATGTGATGGATATAGAGGGAGGAAGGGAAAGGGGAGAGAGAAGACAGATAAGAGAAAGAGATGAGAGGAGAGAGAGAGAGAGACGAGAGAGAAGAGAGAGAGAGAGAGAGAGAAGAGAGCAGAGAGAGAGAGAGGAGAGAGAGACGAGACGAGAGAAGAGAGATGAGAGAAGGAGAGAGAGGAGAGAGCGATAAGCGATAGCGCGCAGTGATGTGAGTGAGTGAGACGTAGCAGAAAGTTGAGATCACTTCACAGACTTCGCGCAGCTGCTCAATTACATCTCCATCTCTCCGTCACCGCTACACCGGATCTCTCCTTCCACTCTCTCTCATTCGTTCTCTGCTCTCTCTCTCTCTCTCCTCTCTCTCCCTCTCTCTCCCCCT